GCAGTCTTGTTGGAAGCGAAGATGTAATATATATATATATATATATATATATATATATATATATATATATATATATATATATATATATATATATATATATATATATATATATATATATATATATATATATATATATATATATATATATATATATATATATACAGTACTGTGAATATGTTTTAGACCACTTATATAATTAGTTGTATTTTCAATTTTTTTCCTGTGTATTTTTTTTTTTAAGCACACTTAAGTTGAGTAATATTTGAGAAAGGTTGAAAGAATATATTATCTTGAATAAATAAACAAAAATTTATGAGGAACACGAGGGATATGTTTGTTTATTTATTAAAACGATAATTGTCATAATAACTGCAGACCAAGCGTTCATCTAAATAATACATAAAAATAATATTTTGGATTTTTTTCTTACTGGTTCAGGTTCATATTCGTTCATTTAAGTTTTTAACAGTATAAAATGTAGTCATAGAGTGAATTTAATACAATAATAATCGGTTTTGGTACATTTTTTAAAAAGTTGTTATTTTTTATGAATACAGTTAACCAAATAGTTAAAAATAATTAAATAAAGTTATTAGTTTACATTTTTAGATTAATTAAGTGTTGCTATGCGTAAAATATCTTTAATAGAGAGACAGAAAGTTATTGTGCTTCACGAAGAAGGTTATTTGCAGCGCCAAATTTCTACCAAAACAGGATATTCGAAGACTACTATTAGAGAAATCATTAAAAAGTTTAGAGAAACTGGCTCCCTTGGAAATAGAAAGAAAAGTGGCAGACCTCCTAAGCTAACAAAAGATGACAATAAATATTTAAAAACCCTTTCTTTAAGAAACAGGAAAAAAACATCAACCGAATTGGCAAAGGACTTTAATACAGCAACTGGGAAAAATGTTAGCTCTTCTTGTATTCGACGACACCTACTCAAATCAGGATTACGAGGCTGCGTTGCTATTCGAAAACCTTTATTACGGCGTGGCAATAGAGAAAAACGACTTAAGTATGCAAAACAACACGAAGATTGGACCCAGGAAATGTTTAATCGGGTTCTGTACACTGATGAGTCTAAATTTGAAATTTTTGGAACGAAAAGACGTCAATATGTTCAAGAAGAATAGGAGAAGCTTATCAGCCCGAGTGTTTAAACCCTACTATAAAACACGGAGGAGAGTCTTTACAAGTTTGGGGCTGTTTATCTTCATCTGGGGTAGGTGATCTGATCAAAATAGAGGGACGACTCACGGGGAACGTTATGTGGATATTCTAAGACAGCATGCTATACCAACCGGAATGAGACTAATGGGCCATAATTTTATTCTGCAGCAGGACAATGACCCAAAACATTGTTCCCGAGTGGCAAAATATTATTTAAATGAAATGGCAGAAGAAGGAATACTGGAAATGATGACCTGGCCTCCCCAGAGTTCAGATTTGAATATAATCGAGTATATTTGGGATTACTTGGACAGGAAAAAGGTCGAACATGCTCCCCGAAATGCTGAAGAATATTTTCAACTACTTCAAAGAGAATGGCACAACATACCGCAGGATTTTATAACAAATTTGTATGAATCTATTTCCCGGCGAATATCGGCTGTGATTAAGGCAAAAGGAGGACATAGTAAATATGAAGGGTTTTTTTATGAAGTGTGACATTAAAAAGTTTGTTATTGTTCTATATTTTGTGTGAAATATATGTGTTTTATTAATTTTATAATATAGAATTCGAAACTTAAATATTAAGGAAGAATTCTCTTGGATTTTTTGAAAAAATGTAAGTGGTCTAAAACATATTCACAGTACTGTATATATGTATATATATATATATATATATATATATATATATATATATATATATATATATATATATATATATATATATATATATATATATATATATATATATATATATATATATATATATATATAAATTATAATAGCATATTGTTATTCAATTAACTAATATATAGTCCTACATTCATTTACTTATCTTAAAAATAATGAAATATAAAAAAGGTTTAAAGTTGAGAATAGTTTTGATCTTTATTAGTGTGATTCTATTGCCAAGTTTCTTGAATGTGATCAATCATTTCTCGATACAAATGTTGTATAGTAGTAAATGTAGTTTTCTTTTTAAGGGTAAATTACTATCATAAATTACATAAAAAATTTTGATCTGTTATTATATACATAATGCTCACTTTACAAATAAACATAATTTACACCAAATTTTTGAATTGATTAAAACATTAATGTATTGCTTCTATGCCCAATATAACTTACACTAAATTGTCCCATTCAATTACCCTAGTGTTATCTTTTGAATTTAGAAATAGAAGTTATTAAATGTTGGTGGCTCATCATGCAGTGCATATGAGAAGGGCATGCTTTCAAAGTAAGTATAATTTTACTATAAATAGAGCATTTTTAATACCGCAATTATGTTGCATACTTGATATACATAAATATATACGCTGGTCACAACAATCCAGTCAAAAATTTCTTTAAAAAAATCAATTTTGAGTTGAGAAATTTGTATTTTTTGATGTTTGATGTTATGTTTGTAAAATAATTATTATATATATATGTGTGTGTGTGCGTGCGTGTGTGTGTTATTTCTTTCTAACCCCTTTATTTTTACATACTTGTCTTGACAATATTTTTTTAGGGTTAAGACTGCTCCCCTAATTCCTACAGCAAAAAAACAACTTTAAAATGCTGGCGATAATATTTTTAAGAGTGCACCTGATCGAAAAGAAGGTGAATGACGTCAACTGTTTGAACATTCGATTCTTGGAAATTAACAAGTGGAAGAAGAAGTTTATAAAGTTGTAATTTATAAAACTCAGCACAATTATATTATTAAAAAATTTAAATGATTTATTATTTTTTTCTTATTCTCAAGAAGTTCTGTAAAAACATATATTTGAACCTTACGTTTAAGTAAAGCCATGTAAAAACACGTAATTTAGACGTCGAAATGAGAACGTCTAAATTAGGTTATTTAAAGACGTCATTTGGCGTTTCCATTTAGCACTAGTTCTGAACGTCCTAAATTCACGTATTTTAGACGTCTAAAAACACGTCTTTATTCCGTCCTAAAAAGACGTCCTAATTTCGTCTTAAAAAGACGTCATCTGGCGTTGCCATTTAGAACCAGTTCCGGACGTCCTAAAAAGACGTCCTTTCGACGTCATATGGACGTTTCCATGCCCGCTGGGAATGACAGAAATCTCCAAAATCTTTGGACTGCAACAATATTGTGGATATAAAACGTTTGTTGAATGCACCACCATCTAGCACTGGAATTCAAAGAATTTTTTGAACTTTTGCGTCTGTTCATTCCAAGTTTAAAATGGGAGTAGAAAAAGCAGCAAAGCTTTTTTTTTATTTAGAACATTAAACACATTTTTTTTTTTTAATTTCAAACTTTTTTTATGACTAAATATGGGTTTTTTTATTTATAATAACCATATATTCATACATATTGGATAATAACAAAACTTATAAACGAACATACTGATAAATTTTATATTTATTATTAGTATTAACTATCTTATTGATGGGCAAAGTTCATAGAATATCAAGGTTTTAAACTTGATTATTTCTACAAAAAGTTAAAATCTTTAGAAGATGTGAGAGTCGCCAGATCTTTGCAATGAAATTGAGCATAAGACTAAAGTCCCAGTCAATTTTCAAAAATTTAAAAAGATTTAAAAAAGAGGCAGAGATATTGAGGAGAAAAATTGTAGTTTGGTAAAGCAGGCTTGGTTGGGAAGCAAAAGCGATTGCTCTTGATAACTAACCACGAAAATAATATTTGGTTGCAAAAAACTGGCCAGATTTTTTAGCCATTTTGAGAACATTAAAGTTTATGCATGTCTGTAATACAAAAATTTTTTGTTTTATATACATGGAAGCATACCTAAACCTAAATGTTGTCAAACCATCTTGGTGCGCAAGAATAAAAAGAATATTCGTGAACACTAAAAACCTGCCAAATCTATAAACAAACTAAATCTATAAGTTCAAAAAAGACGCTGACTAAGCAAAAAATGTTTTAAAGTATTCTGTTGAAATCTTTTAAAAATTGCATTATTCGAGATTTGTAAAGTTTTGGGATTTCTAGCATAAGATGTTTTAAGTATATATTATCAAACAAACTATTACTTTAATACTAAGGTTCATTCATGACACAACTGCAATGTCGTAAATTTTAATAAACTAATACAAAAATAAATGATTTAAATATATATTTTTTAAATTGTCAAAATTTTAAAAGTTATTTATCACTTTGTTAGTATATTCTTACTTTTTATTCAAAAAGTATGTATTTTTTATGTAAGTGTAATTTTGTGTATCTATTTTTTATTCTTATCTAAATCTTTTAAAGTAACTTTTACAATTTATTTTGTAAACAAAAAAACTTTGAACTATAATTGCGTTTTCAAAGAAATTATTCAGAGAGAAAGTTCTTCGATATAAAGAAAAGTTTTTAAGTTCTTAGATATTGATTTTTTAACTAATGTTTTCACTTCAGTTGCCATTTTTTCAAAATAGTTATACCTAAAGTTACTTTTTTCTGTAAAATAATGTCACTTAATTAAAAAAGAGCAATGTTTCGAAAATATTTGTTCTAAACGTAATTTATTTTGCTTTAATTTTTTTTGTGTTAAAAGATATTCTCTTTACCTAGAGTTTTTTTCTTTGTAATTGTCTCTCATTTGTCCAACTAATAATTTTTGAGCTTTTTTTTTCATCTTTTGAAATGTTCTCAAAACGACTAATAAATCTGGCCAGTTTTTTTCAACTAAATATTATTTCCGTGGTCAGTATTTGAGAGCGTATAAGACAATGTAATGTAATGTACTTAATAATCTGCTTTAAAATGTTTCAATTAAAAAAAAAACTACTTTTTAAAAAAAATAAAAACAGTAAAAAAAATTAGAAGCAGAAAATAGCATTAATATTTTAAACAATACCTGTAATATTGGAAATACATTCTTCATAAACAACTTTGTTATTTAAATCTTGAAACGAAAACCTGAAATAAACATTTGCTTCACATATCAAACTTTCCACTTTGATAAACATCTCATTGTTCTTTTTTCTAGTAAGGTAATATGGACGTGATTGCTTTGTATTATTGATAGATGACCAATTATCACGCTTGTTGAACTTATATTCAACTAATGTACACACTTTATCTCCATGTAAATCAAACTTGAATATACTTCCATATCGAATTCTTCTTTGGCTTCAAAAAAACAATATTTATATAATTTACTTCAAAATTGAATTAAAAATGCCACTAAAAAATGTGATTTAATGAAAGAAACTTTACATATTTATTTTGTTCATAGATGAAGAAAAAAAAATTATTGCAATCTTTTTCTGTGAAGGCATCTAAATGTATTGAATTGCCTTTTTTTAGATAAGTAAGGTATTAAACCCTATGGTTAACTTTGTGTAACTTTTGTAAAAAGTTACACAAAGTTTTTCGAGAAAACTTTTAACTTTTTTTTGCTTTTCGAGAAAACTTTTAACTTAAAAAAAACTTTCAAGAAACCTTATCTAGAAATTTTATAATATTATTCTTACCATTAAGTAGGGAAATTTTGTGTATCAAGGTCCTTCTTTTACCAAAGGTCATCCCACTTTATTAGAAAACTATAAAGTTCTAAGTATTGCTTCTCAGTGATTTGTTTAAAAATATTTATTTTTTAATCATATTTTGATTCTCAGAGAGCATTGCAAAAGCAAGTTGTAATTAGAAAACGCGTTTTGATGGTCTAAAGTAAGTTTTTGATGCTGGTATCTTAGATTGTTTTACAATTCTAGACGATAAACTTTCTAATAATTTCTTGCTTGTTAAATTGTTTGTAAAACTTAATTTCTTTATTTATTTTTGAGTTACAATTAAGCAACACAAGATAAAATTGTTGAAAACAATCTAAGATTATATAAGTTTTTTATCAAATTTATCTATCCTTTGGTCAATTTATTATCAAATTAAACCTAAGTTTCAGAGAGTTGCTCTGGTACAATAGCTAGTTTCCCTAGGTACAATTTAAAAAAAGCTCTTTGTACGAAGGGCCACTATTTTTAAACCCTCCAAAATGACAGACTTTTATAGTAGAATAAGTCAATATACTTATACTAATACAAAGTAATAAGTATAGACATGTGATCATTTCAGATTCACCATTTTAGACAAGTCTAAGGCCTTAAATTTGGGCATTGAAAATGTCTAACCCTAGCTATAGGAACTTCTCTTACTAATACTAATAATGTTCTTAGGAGTATAAGTAAGCAGCATTCAATTTTTAACATTTAATGACGTGTCATTTTAGATTTTTCAATTGGGTGTAATTGATTTAATAATTTATTTTAGTGTTACTACTTAGATTTTTCTTTAGAGAATCTTTTTTTCTTTAGAGAAAGTTTAGTTTAAGCAGTATGGGTCATAAAAAATAAAAATAAAAAGATTTTGAGAAAATAACTTTGTAGACCCTGGCAAATACCACCATCTGTAGGGGGGAGTGAGAATAACATTATTCAGAAATACAACCTTTCTGCCTGATTTTTATATTAGCTATAAGAAAACAGATGATAATATTAGGAATGTTTAAAAGTTGCTATAATTTAGATTAGGCAGTAAATAGTAGTGTGACAATTGAAAAGTCATTAATTGTTAAAAGGAACATTTTGGGTTTCCCTTTTGAAGGATTAAGTTATAAAATTTTAATTTTTTTTTTTTTTTTTTATATTAAAAAAAAAAATTATAGGAGGATATTTTTTTTTTTTTTTTACTTTTAGATAGGCTTTAATTTATTTACTTACTGAATTAAATATGAAGTATAAAAAACGTTCAAAAGTGTAAAATAGTTTTGATCTTAATTATTAAGTGTATTAAGGTGTAGTGAATAGATATATTTTTTAATTACATTTTCCTCCTTAACTTTTAGCTAGAAGCTATTAGATAGATGTTTATTAAATAGAAAACAACACCTTATAATTGGCAATACAAAACCAGGTTGGTTTGAGGTTTTGAGCGGTGTTCCACAAGGTTCTGTACTTGAACCATTATTGTTCAAGTTACATATCAATGATTTACCCTCTAAAATTAGTAAAATATGCAAACTTTATGCAGATAATAACAAAACTATTGCTGTAGTTAACAAGCAGGTAGACTTGAAAAGATGATATTAATGCAAGGTGATATTAATAAGCTTGCAAGATGATATTAATAAGCTAACTGAATGGTCGGATATATGGATGATAAATTTCAACATCAGCAAATGTAAACTCATGCATGATATAAAACATAACAAGATTTTTGAATATTGTATAAAAGATTATAAATTAGGTTCAACAACTAATGAAAAAGACATTGGTCAATTTCAAATACTATGAAGTGAAATCATCATACAAATATGGTTGTACATAAAGCAAATAGTCGATTAGATCATTTAACCAAACCATTTACTTACAAAGACAAAAATATAATAAAAACTTAAAATTTTTTTTTTTTTAAATGAGATACTGCCTGCCAAAACCAAACCCTCAGTCGATGTAGCAGCACTCCTTTGCGAGCCAGGCTATTTGTCAGTCGTTGTTAGCAGCACTTCCTTGCGAGTCAGGCTATTAGTAAGTCGATGAAGCAGCACTCCCTTGCGAGTCAGGCTATTTGTCAGTCGATAAAGCAGCACTCCTTTGCGAGTCAGGCTATAAGATAGTCGATGTAGAAGCACTCCCTTGTAGCAGCAGGCTATAAGATAGTCGATGTAGCAACCTTTACGCATGTTTTAAAAATGTTTTTTAATAAAACAAAAACACAAAATGTATATGTATATATATATGTATATATATATATATATATATATATATATATATATATATATATATATATATATATATATATATATATATATATATATATATATATATATATATATATATATATATATATATATATATATATATATAATATCCATAGAAAACCATGGATATTACATATATATATATATATATATATATATATATATATATATATATATATATATATATATATATATATATATATATATATTTATACATATATATATATATATATATAATATTCAGAGAAAACCATGGAGTAGAAGGCTTGACTCGCAAAGTTAATTATCTGAGTAAAAGATTGAGAAACGCAGAAGTTAAAGGCTTTAGTGCCAGCAGGATCAGTGGTGTTAGAGCCAAGCCATTCAGTGTGATAAGCATTAAAATCACCAACAACAACATTATAGGCAGAGAGGTAAAGAGAGAGGGCATGGTCAATTTGGTCAGAGATAATATATAAAAGAGTGCAATCATGGAAAGAAGGAGAACGATAAAGAACAAAGAGAAAGGTGATAGAGTGAAGAGGTGCAAGGCGAAAGCACATAAAAGAATGGCCAAAAGATTTGAACCTGATTTCACGAACTTGAGGAGCTGTGCGAACTGCTCCTTATTACAATCAGTATTCTTTTTTTAATTTTAATTTTTTTTTAAACAACCGTTCTTTTTAAAAACAATTGCAGCACATGAAGCAATTAATTTTTTAAAAATGACATTGCATTTTTTAATTTAGTTACAGCGATACTTATACTTTTGTGAGAAAAACTTATATTTTTGCAAGAACCGTAAAATGCTCTTGTAAACCGTTTTAGTGTAGTGTAGGTGAAAGCGAGACTTAAAGTTCTCGCTTCCCGCTAAGGTCTGAAATAATATATACATATACACAAGCCTTCCCAGGAAAGGCGTGCAGTTTTTCGTCTCGTGTAACCACGAAAACATTTTTATAGTTAACGTGATCACGGCCGTTTGCGCAAGTTTTATTATATGTGTTGCTGGAAAATTGTTTTAAATTTAAAAACTACTTTAGCTCGACGGGCATTTGTTTTTAAAAGTTACGTTCTAAATGTATTTTAAATGTCTTTTAAACGTCTCCTAAACATTCTTACGCAAAAAAACGTTTAAAAGACATTTAAAATACATTTAGAACGTAACTTTTAAAAACAAATGCCCGTCGGGAGGCTTGGCCGGGTAGTGGGAGCGATCGCTCTCAAATACTGACCACAGAAATTATATTTAGTTGCGAAAAACTGGCCAGGTTTTGTAGTCGTTTTGAGAACATTTAAGTTTATTTATAAAACAAAAATTTTTTGTTTTACAGACATACATGGAAACATAAAAAATTTAAATGTTTTCAAAACATCTTAATGCGAAAGATTAAAAAGAATATTCGCGAACATTAAAAACCCGCTAAATTAATGAACAAACTTATTCTATTAGTTCAAAAAATACGCTGACTAAGCGAAATAAAATTCTGAAGCATTTTTGTTGAAATGTTTTAGAAATTTTATTATTCACGATTTGTTACAATTTGAGATTTCTAGCATAAATCGTGTATTGTTTGTTCACAAAATTAAATGTTTTAAATATATATTAATTAAATTATCAAAATTTTAAAAGTTTATTATAAATTATTGATTTTATTAATATATTCTTATTTTTATTTAAAAAGTATGAGTTCTTTTGTAAATGTAATTTTGTGTATCTGTTTTTTATCGTAATGTATCTTTTAAAGCAATTTTTATGATTTAAACAAAGACTTACAAAAATAGTTGCGTTTTCAATGAAGTTATAATCGTTAAAGTAAATAAAAGTAATTATGTAACAAACATAAGAAGTTTCTGGTTACTAAACAAAAACAACGCATACAAAGTATGCATTGAACAAGCACCGCGTATGAGGTCACGACAGAACACAAATATATATAGCAAATAATTAGATATGTATCGATATACTTTTTTTGCTTCTAATACTAATTAAAATTGAAAAGCCCCCTCACTAAACATCAGCAATATTGTGAAGCAGTTTCGCTTCCTCGTCATAAATTATTTTTAACCTTTTTAGTTGACTTCTATCTTGTTAATTTAATTTTTTTTTTTTCTCTGTTTACATAACATAAGAATTTTACAGATTCTACAACGTAATATAAAATTAAACAAAATAAGTAAAAACAGATAGGGACTCAAAGAAGATGAGAATGACAGAACGTCATTGCAATCTTTTCAGAGAACCCCTTTAACAAGATTTAATTAAAATATCGTAATATGACACTTAAAATATAAATGTCAATAAAATACCATAACAAAATGCGAAATCCGCTAATAAAAATTGTCAAGCAATAAACAAAAGTAGAAACAAAACAAAAACTTATTTAAGAGAATTTATCCAAAGCATTATTAACAAAAAATGTTTCACCGGTTTTAAAGATTTCTTTTTTTGTTAAAAACTTGAATGAACTTAATGAACTCACCGTACCTTTGAGCTCTTTCTGAAAAATATTCCAAACCTTTGGACCTCTATATAAAATGCTGTTTTTTGAATATTTATTTATTATCCTTCGCAGTTTATATGTGTTCAACATATTCGCTCTAAGATTATAGTTATCATTTTTATTTAACTCAAACTTATTATTAAAGCTTATAGGAGAGATATTGTGATAGTAACGATACATAAAAATTAAATGCTGGTAGATATTTATTTCAAATAAATTCATCATTTTCATATCTTTCATCAAGGGATTTGCGTGTTCCCGCCTATTTTTAAAGTAAATGATTCTACAAGCATGTTTCTGAAAACTATAAAGTTTCTTAAGCTTTGCTGTTTGCATAGCTGATGAGGCTGTGAATTAGCCCAAAGTAGATTAATTTAAGACTATTTGTATATTAATTTTAATTAATTTACAAATAGTCTTAAATTAATCTACTAATTTAAGACTAGTTTGTTTTATATAAAATATAATATAAATATATATATATATATATATATATATATATATATATATATATATATATATATATATATATATATATATATATATATATATATATATATATATATATATATATATATATATATATATATATATATATATATATATATATATATATATATACTATATATATATATATATACATATATATAGTATATATATATATATACATATATATATATATATATATATATATATATATATATATATATATATATATATATATATATATATATATATATATATATATATATATATATATATATATGTATATATATATATATATATATATATATATATATATATATATATATATAATATATATATATATATATATATATATATATATATATATATATATATATATAGATATATATATATATATAGATATATATATATATATATATTCAGAAAAAAAATTTTATTGAAAAAAAAAATTAGAATAATAAAATAAAGTAAAATAAAAAATAAATATTTAAATAATAAAATTAAAATTTTAATACTTACCTAGCTCTGTTTGAATCAAGGTCAATAGAATCTAAAACAAGTCACAATATAATTATAAATTAGTTAAAAAAAAAATTATATTTTTGTTAAATTAAAACTTAATTGGAATTTTTTTTATCTAAAAAATTTTTTTATTATACCAGTTTATTTTCTTTTTTTTTGTTTTTTGACTTGAGAACAAAAACCTTGACACAAAAAAAAATGTTACATAACTTAATTATCATTAAGTTACATTATAGAACGTACTACTATATCAATCTTTTTCTATTTTTTATTATTTTCTAATAATAGGTTTCTATTATTACTTTTACAGAGTTTTTTTATTTTTTATTAAATCAATAAATTTACAAAAATTTATCTTTCATTTATTTTTTAGGTTTTTCATTTTTTAGGCTTATTGTGACTTTTTTTTTATTCTTCCTTTAATTCAGTTATACTTTTTTGCGCATTATTAAAACCTGAAAATTATCAAAACTTAAAAAGTGCTGTGGTAAAGATGTCAAAACAAAATATTATATGAGTGGATATGGAGCTTGATTTTATTAAGTTCATCTTTATTATGTTAATTTATTAGTTTATTGGCTATTCATTTATGTGCACTGAATTTATGTGTTGTATTTTACCACTCTACATTGCCATAAGCCAATGGATATTTTTTATTAAATGATTGCATACACAGTTATTTCAATTTATTTTAGTTTTTTTCCCGAAATACATGAGATGTTTGATATATATATATATATATATATATATATATATATATATATATATATATATATATATATATATATATATATATATATATATTTGAACCATATTATGTATATATATTTTGTATATTTATTATGTCATATTATGTATAAATCGTACTTGCAGTAGCCAAAGAATCAAATGAACAAAAAATGGTATTATTTTGGTTGAGCAGTATCTAATAATAAAAATAAAGATAATGCATTTGACGAGGAAAAAAAAAATGTGATAAGTATTTTTAACAAATTGATACAAATGTTGATATAGAACATATTATAAAGTTAAAAACCAGGAACAAAAAACAACCACCTTTATTGTTGTCTTGAAAGATAAACGTGAAAGAATTAAAGTTTTAAAGTCATCAAAAGTAATAGAAGACGACGACTCGTTCTTGAAAGTATTCATAAATCCTGATCTTACAGAAGCAGAAAGACATAAATCAAAACTCTTAAAAGAAGAAGGTCACCAAATGAACACTGAAAGAAAACAAAGAAATGAAAATAATTATTATTTCAGTATCAGATATAATCGAGTAGTAAATATTACTGCATAGCACTTACCAAAAAACTATAAAATTAACAAAAAAATTAACAATTAATAATAACGACGTAACAGAAAACTTCTTATCATGTTGGTATACAAATACTACATCATTAAAACTTTAAATACAATGAATTTATTGCTGAAATAGTCACATCTCACCCACAAATACTTTTTATCAGTGAAACATGGTTTAATGAAATGTCATTAAGTAATGTTCCCGGTTATAATATATTTCGAAAAGATCGAATAGGTAAACGAGGAGGGGGAGTATGAATGTATGTCAAAGAAAATATTAAATCTGTTACAGTTTCTGATAAAATATTAAATGATGACATTTTAGAGCAAGTTTGAACATCATTGCATATTGGCAATAAAAAGATAATTTGCGGATGTATTTATAGGCCAGGCTTAATTGACTGTAAACTTAATCTAAAAATAATAAATTTAATTAAATGAAGTTACAACCTTTTGATAAAAAGTAAGTAGTCCAGACTATTGATATGTGGAGATTTTAACTATATTTCTATTAAATGGAATATAGAAAACATCGGCAAACTTTAATAATTCAGATATTTCTGCTAAAGAGTTCTTAAAATATTTAAATGATTGTTTTATAACACAAAACGTATTTAAGCCAACTTTTCAAATTAATGAATTTAAATCCACTAATGTTCTTGACCTAATAATAACAGAATCAAACAAAAAAATAATTATTTGAACCATTTTGATAATTTGGATGCACTTAATCACGGTCATCAGATCCTTAATTTTTTATATAGCTTTAGAAATAATTTAAAAATAATTTATGTCACACTTAGAAAATAACATCTCTGGACTGTGGAACATCATGGATTTTTTTTAAAAAAAAACTGTTGTACAAACCTTATAGAATCTTTGAATCTGATAACTATAGCAATTGAAGATACTTTACCAGTAGATATTATTTTCCTAGATATGAAAAAAGCTTTTGACTCCGTGCCTCACAACAGATTATGTCTTATACTAACAAGTTACGGTTTTAACTAAAAAGCAGTTAGATGGTGCAAAAATTTTGTATATAACAGAGTGTAACGTGTTGTTTGCAATGGCAAATTTTGAAATTGATCTCGAGTTACAAGGTGGAGTACAGCAAGGGTTTGTCTTGGGTTTATTTATATTTATTGTTTATATAAACGACTTACCGAATGAGTTATCAACAAACTGAAAAATGCTGATGATATTAAAATGCATGCTGTAAAATGTAAATGTATGCTGATGATATTAAACTAATTAACATAATTAGATCATCTTCTGATATAGAAAAGACTCAAACAAATCTAAAAAATTAATGACATGGTCATTACTAACGATTTACTAAGGGAAGGTAATACTATTACCTCCCCTTAGTAAATCGTTTAAAGTAAGAGGATGTGATAATGGCATGAAGTGATAGTAATAAGAATTATGCAATTATATATCAATAAGTTATAAAAACATATAAAAATGATTTACAAGTATAACATCAGACTCATCACATCTCCTTAAGTAAATCATGCAATAGAAAATGTTTGAAACTGGTATTAAATCATATAAACTATTTTTATATTTTACTGTAATTAAAATTTTCTAAAGCTATTGATATTTAACTTGTAGGACTTTTGTTTCAGTAAAGGAACATAGAATAAAAGCGTTGTGCTTACTTTAATTAATATAGTTATTAGCCCAACATATCAATATTTTCTTAGCCTGATTTAAAGATATTGTGATGTTAAATTGGTATTTAATTTTTTTCCAAACTCACTCATATCACTTTTCTGTTATGTATATATGTTTTTAAGTTCTATATTTGCTATTTCTTATGTTCTACAAAAACAAAAATTGATTTTTTTTATATTTTCATTTAAAAACTTATGTATTTTGAGCAAATTGAAAAGTATTTTTTTATTTAATTAATTTCTTTTTTTTTTTCTTTTAGTTCGAACACAAGATTCTGCTATTTTTCATTTTTTATGTTTAATTTGACTACTATTGAATTATGGTTTTAAATTGGTAAATTTTTATGAATTAAAATTTGCTTTATTAATCATTATCCAACAGTTTAGGTAATAAAATTAAATTTATTGCCATTAAAGTAAGAATAACTTTGTTCTTAGGTCGCACCATTAAGCAGTTTTTTATTTTATTTTTTTATTGATATTTTTCACAAAAACAGTTTTTCATTATTATTATTATGGCATTGTTATTTTGTGTAACTAAACCTGAAAATAATTCAGCTTACATAACCTTGAAAATATAATAGTTTTTTTATTGCTACATTTTTGTTTCAGATAACCTTGTTGAAAATTTTAAGAGAAGTTGAACAAAAAGTAATATATATATATATATATATATATATATATATATATATATATATATATATATATATATATATATATATATATATATATATATATATATATATATATATATATATATATATATATATATATAAATATATATTTATATATATATATATATATATATATATATATATATATATATATATATATATATATATATATATATATATATATATATATATATATATATATAGACGCGGATCCACCTGTACGCTAATGAAGCTGAAACTTCATGGCCCCGGAAAAAAGAGAGCCCATAACACTTTCAATTTTATATCAAATATAATTTTAAAAAATTATAAAAAAAGTTACAGAAATTGAAAAGAAGAATAAAACAAGTTTTTCTATTTATTTTCTGATTGTACTAGATATTTTTATTCCCTTTGTGCGATTTGACACGGAGATTTTTAGAGAATTATTAAAATTATGGATTTCTATAAGCGCAAAATATCAACAAAGAAAGACATTGGTTGCTTTGGTTTGTTATGGAAATGGATAAAAAAAGACTTTTCTTAGATAAAGAAATCCTTTTAATATTTAGTTACCCAAGTATTTAAATGTTTACATTTTTATTTTGAAATAATAAATTTTTTTTAATAGTTAGTTTAAACATCGAAACAAGAAAATATCCCCGAAGAGAACTAAGATTATAAAGAAACAAAAAATGCCTTTCTTAGAAAGAAAGCTCTTTTTAATATTTATATACATGTTAGTCATATATATATATATATTTTATATATATAAGATATTTTTCGGAGAGAATGTTTTTTTTTACTTTCTATTTTGTAACTTTGTTGTGTTGTTCTACATTTGTTCTTTACAGTATGTTTCACAAGCTGTCTTTATTTCCACACACTGTTTTAGAATATATTTATATTCTGGAATACATGCAAATTTTTTTAATGTAATTTTCATACAGTTAGTTGTGTTTTATTTACTTTTATTTATTTAAAACATATTAAGTAAGAATTTGTTTGTAGATTTAAGTGATTTAAGATTTTTATTGCAAGTTTTGATCAGTTTTATTTTATTTTTATTAAAACTTTTATATTTATAATAGAAGTATATTAGTTTTGATTATTTAAAAATACAGTTAGATTTTACTTGTTTGATATCAACCAATGTCATGTTGTTGGTTGTTATTGTGAGCTTATTTAGTTGGTTGCTATTATGTAGAGATTTTGGTACATGTATGTTGAATATTTATTTTTTCTCTTGGCTGTTGTTGTTGTTGCTATATTTTTTTTCTTGGTTGGATACGTATCTCATATATGTACCTGTGTATATACACAGGCTTTTGTTTATGCGTGTTTTAAATACGCGATAAATCTCTATAAAATTTCCTCTTTGCATTTAGAAA